CATCTACCTGAATGCTTAAGGGTGTACATAACGCGGTAGTCGGAGTGTGAGTCAAAAATCGCAAACGCGAAAGTACGCGGGGACGAATTTCCTGCACCGTGGCTCTCGCCCCCTCGCTTCGTCACCTCGTCAAGCACGTAAATGTAGGTGCGACTTGTTAAAAATTATAATTAGAATTGTGTGCTCCCGGCTTGTTGCTACGCGCCAACCATTTTGCTCGATGAAAAGGATCGCGACCTCACTTTATTTACATCTCAATTTTTGAAGATGCACTGTCGTTAAATAAGGAAGAAATATATATTTTCGATCGTTCATTGATTCCCTGAACAATATCAGCATTACTTTCATACGTACAATTCCTTATTACATTTCTAGCAAAAATATAAAATATAAAAAATACATTTTTAAGTATTTTTAAGTAAGAAAATGATGAACAAATTTTTTCAGCCTATCGTACTCGGAAAAAATGGTTTTCCTGATGTGTATCTAAAAATTTAATTAGATACAGATCTAAAAATAATTTTGTTGTGAATTTTGTGAATTGTCAAAAATTTATGCAGAAAGCTTAAAAGCATTGATGATAATACGCAGCAAAAATGTTTAACATTTTAACAACAATTTTAGTTTGAGCGTTTTACATAATTATTTTGATGGTTTAAACAAAATTATTTTCAAATCTATATTAAAATTTTTAGATACTTCAACAAAATCGTTCTTTCCATATATTTATTAATTACTATTAACTTCATTTCGAAAGTAGTTTTAGACTATAGGTATACAGATGCGATTAGAGTAATGGAAACAACATTACCAGACAATCGATCGACAATTGGAAAACACGCCCTTCCGCGTATTTCGCGACCTATCTCGGAGAAGACGATGTCGGTCCACGACGGAGAAATGAACGACGGAGAAGGTGGGCTGAGAAGACGAGAGAAGAGAGTGGAGGAGGGAGGCGCGAGAAGAAGAGAGAGAGAGAGAGAGAGAGGTCCGTGGCGATGCTCACTTGTTGCTCGCTCGACTAATTGCCAAGTAATTGGCCCCGTACCCCCGCTCGTATAAAGTTTGCTTCATTGTCTTTAATAACGCCGTGACCTGCGCTAATGACTCACGTCGCATTCGTCAGGAAAGGGAGACGACAAGCACTCAATGAAAAGGATCGACAAAGCTTCGCGCACTGTAAATGCCCGAAGAATCGAAAAGTCGATGAAACGTGCATAACGTTGAATGCCATTCTTTTAAATACTTACGTAGTGTGGCTGAAAAAGTTATACGAAAGATACGGCCACGTTTTTCAAATTGAAAATGAACACAAATTTTCACTTTTCACCTTACGAAAGAAATACGTACGTTTGTCATTGTCTGCGTTTATTTTATTTGCGTTCTTTCTTCGCTCGAGATCGCTCCCCTCGACTTGGCATGCAGCAATTAGCACAAATGTCACCACACTCACATTATATCAAATACAATATAATTAAAACATTTCTTTTTCTGTACAAATACCTATATCTATATACGAAGAAGGCCATGTTTGATCAAAACAAATCTTGGTGCTTAATAATATTTTTGCGTAAATCTTACAATTTTCAGTTTGAACAAATTGCGCGCCGATTATTTGTCGTGAAAGACATGCAATCCTAGATTAAAGAATTTATTGTGAAAAATACTATTCCAACCAATTTGTGACATTACGTATTGCAGCTTCAGTCTATAGGATTGTAACAAATCAAGACCGACAAATGGCGACCGGCTTGCAGTTTTCTCAAATTAGAAATTGTGAGAATTACGCAAAAATATTATTGAATACTACATGGAAAGGAATATTTTTGTTGAAACATCTAAAAATTTATCTAGATACAGATCTGAAAATAATTTCGTTGCAACATTGTTTATCACGCTTGAGACGTAATCCTACGTAATCATTTTAATGATTCAACAAAATTATTTTTAGATCTGTAATTAATTAAGTTTTTAGATGTTGAGCAAAATTGTTCTTTCCATGTAAGATTTGCTATGATCTTCTTCAGAACAAATCAATAAATATACTTATAGTAAAAGTTCAATAAATTAGAAACAGATTATCCATGTCAAAACAATCAATTGTATCCTGATAGAAATTTATGCTGTTAAACTGAACATCCAGTCAGTTACAATCTAATATTACTAATTTTTCTTAATATACAAAAATATACATAACAAAATTAGATAATTATTCAATTTAATCATCTTAGTAGTAATCCAATAAATATTGATAAAATTATGTTCATTAGACATATTTTTGTACGAAATGAAAGCATCTGAAAGAAAAGCGTCGCTCTGCCCCGCGAGATATTCATCAGTTGACGATTGTTCAGGTTAGAAAATTTGTTATACACATAGACGAAATACAGCGATATGAGCGTGTGCTTATCTATTTATTGTCCTGTTTTTATTCAATAAATAAATTCAGATTCAGGGTGTGCGCATCTTTTGTGCCCAATCGAGATGTAACTGCAGACAAAGCGTTACATCTCGATCCTAAATCTCGATCCTAATTTTACTTTTCAGTTACTAGACAGAATTAATGAAACTGTCCAGTAACTGTTCAAAAAAATGTATGAAACTTCTATACTAGAGATTCACGGACTCAAGAACAAAGCGTGTTTGCGGACGAGAGCCAATTAAAAAGGGAATCTTTATAAAGGTATATAGAATTAGTGAAAACAGCTTTGAAGACATATAGATATAATAATAATTGGCATGTATTTTAAACGCGTGCTGTAATGTTTTCGATGACAATGTGCCGCGATAGTCAATTATCTAATTTTTTCAAATTCGCTTCTAAGCATCATCGCAATTACTGAAGATCGTACATTCGATAATAAAACGTTGAAGAAATCACGAAAGTTGCAGCATACTTAGCATGGCACTTGATTCTACGCAATGTCCACTGAGAATTATCAATTATTAAATAGAATGGGGAAATTTTTAAGTGAGCGAGTAATTTCTCGTGAAAGGCGCGGCAATTAAAGCGAATAGTCTGTATTTTTCTAGAAGTGCCGGAACAAATCGCACTGGAAAATTACAGCGGAAAGAAGGGAGCATATTATCTAAGGATACATTATTAATTCACCATTATCATTACTTTCTCATTATTATTTATTATTTAGTAAATGTCTGTTATTATCCTTGATTTCTCCGCTCAAGTCCGTGTCGACACATTTAATGAATAATTATTCAATTTACGAAACAAAAAATTCCTAACTAAGAAATATCGTGCACAGTAAGAAATTACTGGTAGAACTGGAGTTACGAAAGATAAACAAGAATTACTTGAAATAAAGATAACGGAAGATAAGTTGTTTGCGAGATCATCACAATAAAAACTTGATTTCCTTACAATTTACTCGAGATTAAACTAGACACGAAAAAGAAACATTTTGGCTTGTAGATCGAAACGAGTGTAGAGATACGACGCGGATGTCCGTGTAGCTTCCATCAAAGCGAGCGGGTGGACGGGATACCTAAGGTAAGGATACCTAAGATAACCGACTTAACGAGGTACACGTGTCGTGCGCAGAGAGACACCTTGGTGTATGATGCGTCACATGTGCGGAAGTAAGAAGCTGGCAGCTTCGAGGAGGAGATCCGTACGATCCCCCAACTCCAGTAACCAGGGAACCAGGGACAATCCGTGCGTGACCAGATGTCCGATGTATTGTGCGCGGAATCGCGGAGTGTGACTCATGCCCCGAGTCGACGGTGTCGACGGTGTCGACATAAGGGAGCCACAGACATTGGAGGATTGGAGGATCTATGACGCGCGCGTGACTACCTATCTATCGGTGCCGCACATGCATTACACCGCATAGGTATTAATGTATGTAACTGATCGTAACTGATCGTAAATTAATCCCAACATCCGTTTCCGGGACCCTCGAGTCATTTCAATCTCGTAATTTTCACTTATATGTATTTATAAGATTGAAAACTGTTGCAACAGCGATCGTATAATTTCTTTCAAGAGGGTAAGATTGATTAGACACCCAAAATTCGCTAGAAATATGGAATAGCGAAGAGAAAGAAGTGAAATAATCACTAATAAATACTTGATGATGTTTCAAGAGTGTCTAGAAATATTATCATTAAGTATAGGTATTATAGTATAGGTGTATGCAGCAAGATATAGGGCTAATAATGCTAATATATCGTTGCTAATATAAATCATTGTCCTAGATTAAAAACCGAGATTAAAGTTTGCCGAGACTTTCCGAGACTTTCGGCAATAAAACAGTTTTATGATGGTCAATATAGATTTACGATGACTTTTCCTCCTCGTCGCTTGGTGATCATGTATCATTCTAACAACGGTCCTTCGAGTTGAATTAGTAACGGAATCATTAACGTAATATTTCCTTTAAAATGTACGAAGGAAAATACTTAATATAAATGTATAGTAATGCGCATACTTTACACGCTTCTGACTTTTCAATTGACTAAAGTGATTAATCTCTTCCTTGAAAAGCGCACTAAGGCAAAGTTAGCAAAATTTCACATTTTTTTGTATAAAGTTCTTATCAATTAAGAAAACCGGTAAAAAACTAATTTTTCTTATTAAAATGATAAAATAAACAGGAATTTTTTTTGTCAATATTCTAATTCACAGCTGAGATCTATATTAGAAAAAAATGTTAATTCTGTTCTACTATTCTTCTTCTCATTAAAAAAAAAGATGAAACTTAATAACACTTATATCGTCAAAGTTTTGGTTTTAAAAATGTATTTCACATATTAATTTAAAGATTTTAAATAAAGTTTTGTTACTATTCATTGGTTCATTTTTATTGGTTAATTTCGTCGTTTTTCTTTAAACTATATGATTATTATAATTTAATAATTAAAGCAAAAATATATTTTTCATAATGTTATATAAATATATCTTAGTATTATATATTAATTAATTTTATAATTCTCACCAATTTATTCCATCAGATAAAATCCGAAACAGTAAAAATCGGAATTTACAATAGTTCCTTTCCACCCACTGCACTGTTCCTACGTTAAGATAACAACAATATAATAATGAATAATATATTGGTAACGTGAATTAAAATTTTTTCACTACTTAAACATTTAACAATTTTTATTACAAATTTTATTATACATTTATATAATGATTAAATTATTTCGAGATAAGAATGCGTATAGACTAGGTATATATTTTGACAACAAATAAAACTGATAATAAATTAGTAAATTAAGATCAAAAGAAATAAAGAATTTTTTATTACGTTTACCTATCTATTATATAGTAAAAAATATTGAAAACAGGATTAAAATATTAAAGATTAATTATTCTTCTCAACCTTAAATTGACTATTTACAATTCCATCCTTAAGACAAAACACTTGGCTTTCATAAATACTTGAGCTGATAGCTCGAATATATCAGATATCCTACTTGAAATTGATAGTTTCGAGCAATTGAAATAACTTTGGAAAAAAGGCAAAACTATGTGTTATTACAAAAAATAACGTTTCTGTACAATACGAAATTGAATTGAAAAGAGTTTTTCGAAATCACCACAGACCTCGATGAGAGCCGCAAGTTGCGCGCGAAATTCCCACGATAAACCATAACCGTGTGAAACCCGAACAAAAGCGATCCGATATTTGTCCTGTAAATAAAGGGTAATTCCTGTAAATAAAGCTTTCTAACCGAATCAAAAAAAAAAAAAAAAAAAAAAAAAATCACGTATTTTCCGAAAATTCTCCAAGTCGAGCCTTTGAGTTGAAGTTCGAGCTGAAGGAAAAGCTCGCCGTTGAACGATGTGCTCTATCCCAAAATTAAGATGGGAGCAGATCCTGCTTGTACATACATGTATACATGTGGATGGGAAGAACATTTCAAGAAGGACACGGGAAAAAGGATGGATGCGACAGGAACGGGCGGAGACGGGGATAGCAGACGGAGGAAACGGCCGGAGACGAGAGAATCTCAGTGCGACGCGTCGCGCCGGCTAGACGGCATCGTAAACTCTGCGAGGAACTTTTGAATTTTAGTAAGAGACGCTCTCCTTCTCCCTTCGTTTCACCCTTATCCTCTCTTTCTCGCCCCGATTTCGGCCGGTGTCGCTTCCTTTCCTCCCTCATCCTCGCTCTCTCGCCTTACTTCTATAAATTAGGGGTTCTTCTCGTTCCACCCCGTCTGCAACCGTGCTACCTACCCTCGCACACTAGCGTCGATTAGGGAAACACCGCGTAGCGAGCTAACATATCCTTGGAGAGTCTTACGGAGTTCCTTATCGGAGTCGACAGAGGTCGCCAGAGAGACAAAACTAATAAAAAATAAGAGAGAGAGAGAGAGAGAACAGAAAGAAAGAAACGCGATCCCGAAGGGAGTAAGTCTTCTCCGAGTAACGATATAATGCAAGAAGTCAATAATTTATTTCTTCAACACAGAATGCCAATGTGCTACTGAATTTGGAGCATCAATCTAAAACCTTCGCGAGAACAGGATATTATCAAAGCTTAGATAAATTACGAAACTGCTTTTAAATCGTAGATCAATAATGATAATGTATCACGTCAAATCAATAATTAATTTTCACGCTAAATACGCGATAAGCGTAAAATCTATCAATATGGATGCAGGCTCGATGTTTCGCAGGAAAAACAACAACGACGCATCAAGAGGCACAAAAGTAACAAAACGAGAAAGTAAAATTCGTACAAGAGATCTTTATTATTCATAATTTCCCGTCGGGACGAATTTATTTCGAAAGTGTTTCGGGAAGTTGGAAACTCCGTAGGTAACAAGTTTTTTGGTTCGCGCGAGGGAAGAAACCTAGTTTTTTTTTTTATCGTTGCTCAACGCGCACTTAGCATAGAAACGTCCTTCCGGGTCACAGGTATTCAGATTTTCTATCCCTCTGCAGGCACCCAGGATTCTTTCTCCTTCGGGATACGCTGCGAAGGGTGCTGCCTGGGGAGGGTAGCTCGAAAGAAACGATAGAGCCAGAACGCGCAAAACGGAAGGGAAGGTGAGCGGAACGGTGGGAGGAGAGATCGAGTAGAAAGGGGCTGAAGGGGAGTAAAGAAAAAAAAGGCGGCAGCCATAAAGAGCGAACGGGAAAGAGAGACAGACCGAGAGAAAAGGGGTAGAAGGGAGGGGGAGGGGGAGGGGATAATTCCACGGCTAAATATCGGTAAAAATCAATACTATCTCTTTTCCTCGACGCATTGCCGTCGCAGCTAATAATGCACGCAAAGAGCGCAACTCCAAAGGACGATCGATATATCATTTTTCAACATGATTTTCCGTCCATCGATCGCAGTAACGCATGCTTCCATCGCGAGAATTCCCCCGTACAAAATACAATGGATAACGTCCTACTTAATCGGCGGAAACATTCATGATCGACGAAATTACAGAATTAGAAATTTGCGTTTATTTGCTATTCCGCAAAATACTTGTAATTCCTCTGAATATATAAAGTGAAAGAAAAAGGAAATGAAAGAGATATTGTTTATTGATAAAAATATATATCGTATAAGTATCTACCTTTTCGCCTTACCTGGAATTATTTCGAAAGATAACCATATGCGAGTTTCAACTGTGCTGTTAAAATAACTTGGCGTATATACGCGGAGGTGATAATCTTTATCAACCTTCTTCGTAATACGACAGTTTGGGAGCCGAGAATGATTTCAATGCAGCGGTGGAAGTTGGTCTTAAGCGGACGAATACCAATACGACTGACTGTCGTATAGTACGAACAAGTTGTTACCAAGGTAGTAAGGAAATACTCGCGTAAGAAGGGCAAGATATTCGAGAGCCAGGGGAAACAAGTTGCAGCCCGAGAAAATTATCAACCATAAATTCAAGGCAGGTCGAGACAGTGTCTGATACATGGCGTCTCGTTGCCATTTCCAAGTGCAATGCAACTTATACGCGTTTTCTATGCAGCAGCATCTCTGCAACGCCGTAGTGTACTAAATGACTCTGTAAAAACGTTATCAACCTAGTACTTTACATTGGTATTTTACATAGTTCAAGCAAAATCCAAATCTAATATATTATTTAAACACATTTCTAATAATCTGTTGCAAATTGTATTAAGATTTTTTCAAACTATTTTATAATTATATGCATAGATAAAGAAGCATTTATTTTTGGCAATCACTTCGTTTATCTCGTTATCCAAATTTTTACCTTTATCTTGATTACTGTTATATAAACAAAAATAAATGTCCATTTTCATAAAAGTGTAACTATAATTTTATATTACTATAATTTTTCCGCAGAGCAATTGAATTTCTGCGAAACCCAAACGAGTCACTCGTTTTGCCAAAGAACTCCATTCCGAACTGCAGTCCGTTCAGAATCTGCACAAATAAAATATCGAAGATTAGCCGGAGGTCCATCAGCGAGCTACCTTCGCGTCTTTCGCGTAAATCTCTTGAAAAAAAAAAATCCATTACGCGTGTTGTGCACGGGAATGTTTTTCCGGGCGTAGATTTGATACTTTTTCGAGTGTTGACGCGATTTACACGTCGCCGCGGCGACACGAGGTGATTTTGTCTCGCTCGCTGCATTTTTGAGAGAGAAAGAGAGAAAGATCGCTTCACGGAGATCCAAATTTCCGCTTGTCCTTTTCTGAAACGCGGTGAGAGTAACGGCGTGGAACCATGAGCTCGACCACGACCTGAGACAAACGGTAACGAAATGCGCGCCTGCTGTCGCGCCGTCGCTCGCGACGCCGAGGCGAGGATCCCCACGTTCCGAGGGATCTCTTTGCACGCGAAAGTGTAAACGGCGATGGCGAACGCACCAGCGAGTGCTGCCTCGGTCCGACCAAGAGTCCGATCGGGCGATCAACCGACCGACCGACCAACCAACCAGCCAGCCAGCCAGCCAGCCAGCCAACCAACCAACCAACCAGCCAATCAACCAACCAACCAATTAACCAACCAATCAACCAACTAACTAATCAACCAACCAAACAATCAATGAACCAACCAACCAACCAACCAACTAACCAAACAACCAACCAAACAATCAACCAACCAACCAACGCCTCCTCCTACCATGGGCGCTCTTCCTCTCTCTCTCTCTCTTGCCGTCTCTTCTCTCTATCCGTACCACCAAAGGAAGAGTAAAAAGGAGAAGGGAACCAAGTGGTTCTCAACAAGTGACGTATGTGTAGAAAAATAATTTTTTATCTACTTTATTCTACTTTATTATATCTACGATATTATTGAGGATTCTATCTATACGAGCGATAGGACAGGGTACCTTCAATGTATCGTTCCGTATACATGCGAACAATTGATGCTTCTTTTAGTAATTTCAGTTGAATGGCAATTTGTCAAAATAAAATTGTTACTGAGATATATTTGTAACGCCTTGCATCCATTATATTGCTCCATGTTCAATTATGTAAAAATTGACAATGAAATTGTAAGATAAACTTTTTGTTTCAACACGTCCTCTACATCTTGTTTCATATGTATTTAACTATTTAAAAAAACTTAAAAGAAAAATTTGTAATACAATATCATTGCAATTATTATAAGAATTTCTCTTTCTCAACGATATTACCCGCGAGCGCAATAAAGAATATATAACTTTCCTCCGTCTCTTACACAGTCTTACAAGTTTTACAAAAAACATACAGCAAGATGGAAAAAGGGAGTGCTTTCACGAGATTTGTGAAATTGCTGCAATTTTTGTGCTACCTTTAATACGCGCTAACTATCGATCCGTGCGTTATGGTCGCAACAATCGAATCTTTCGTCCATCTCGTACATCTCGTTCTCTGAAGAAATCGACAAAAGAATGGCATTCGAGCGTACTAAAAGGCGAAGGGCGTAGAACGGAGGATGACAAATAATTTGCAGACAGCGGTACGGAGAGATCTCTCCTCACTGTCCCCTCTGCCTCCCTCAAACCCCGACTCACCCTCCACAACCTCTGCGGGGTGGCTAGGAGGGTATAGGGTGAAAGGGGGAGGAGGGGAGTAGGAAAGGAAAAGGGAGGTGGGTCGCGTACAACACCATACAAAAGTTCGCGTCACCTCGCGTCGTACAATCCGTGCCAAAAGCTCGTGTCCACTTATTTTATTTCAGTCTTACTCTCGAACAATACGCCGGGGATACTTATAACGGAAAAAAGAAGAGAGAAAGAGAAATACACTCTATCCTGGCTAATTTATCTTACTGCAATTTCTCCGCTCCTCTGGCCGAGAACGCGTATATGTGTTCCCTCGGACGGGACGGGACGGGACGGGAGGGGAGGGGAAGGGGAGGGGAGGAAAGGGGAGAGGACGACAGAGAAAAGTGTTAACCAAGTTGTGACAGGTGGACGATTATTCAATGTCGACGAAATTATAGGGTTACCCTATAATTTATGTAAGTTAATTAAGAGTGGACAGGAATTAAAATTCATATTAGCGAAACTCGCCCGATTTTGTCATTTCAATTTTATAAATCCTCCGCAATGACGCGCCATCGTCTTGGCTCGTGGCTACTTAATAATCTTCGTATATATCGTTAATTAGACAGATTAAAGGCAATCTATCGTGTCTCCGAGATGCGGCGGGACTGATTAATGACATGCGCGACTCTCGTGCACCGCGAGGCTCTATAATAAATTCCATCTAGAATGCGCGCTCGCACCGATTATGCTCGGACAGTGCATTAATCCTTGTTCTCAGAAAAATATTCCGGTAATTCAATACGACGCTATTGAACGATTTTCCGTCGTTACGGCTATAAATTTGCGCAACGCCGCGCGATGCTATGAAATCGTAAAAATCCTTCCCGGGAAAAATGCGGAACAATTCCTTACCATAAATTTGCCATTATCGAAACGCGCCTCTTCTCACACGCATTAAGAAAATACATCGATTATTCCCGTTGCGACTTTTATTTGAAATACGAGCGTTATTTGTCTCGCGTAATAGCACCGTTGGAATATGACATATTAATTTCTTCCATAGGAAGATCGGTCGGCCGTTCCGAGTGCATTTTAATCCAAAAAGAACAAACGCGGCATTTGACTCGCGCAATATTAATTTCCTAAGGCCTCTCGATGGCACGGGAAATGTATGTATGTGTACGTCGAGTCACCCACCCACCTAGCGCGCTTCGCTAGCAAAACTTCCCTTTTAAGTTACGTTTATTCGCGGCTCACCTCGTTTCAACTCCCTCGGGAAAACAGCGGAGAGCTTATAGCACCGTTCGCTAATGATGTTGTTCTACTTCCTACGCATTCTTCATCGACGTATTACCGAACACGATCCTTTAAAATCGAGCTATGTTTTCGAAATGCACCGATATCGAGTATCGTTATCGAATACGTTTTCAAGTAACGTATATGAATATATTCATAAAACGTCAAAGGTTATAAAATGCCATATCAATACACGTATATATTTTCCGATTATACCCTACTAAATCCTTCGTGAATTCCGAGTCACGACTTTCCCTTTCGAAAACTTTTTCTTAACTGCTATATATAGAAGATTATTTTTTTAGGCACCTATTAAACATCCAATTAAAAAAAGCTTTCGTTCCACGAAATTTCCAAGTAAAATTTCCAAAAATCTCGATACATTTATGCTTTTAAGATTTAATGCTCCAAAAGTCTCTGATCTTTAATTTTAAATATTTTTATAATTAGATTTTGTATACTTCTTAATTATTTTAAAATCTTCCCGCTATTAAAACGTAACGCTTTACCATTCTAAACCATTTTGATGAAGCATGTTGATCTCTGATATATATGTCCAATATACAGCCTTGGTCAAAAATGTCAAGCATCTTTATTATCTATTTACCATTATATAATACATTTTAGCTAAAAAATTGACTTATGATATTTATTGTGTCATCCTTCGTTTTAAAAATGCTTTAAATTTACACATAATGCCGGTAACCACGATAAAAAATGTAATATAGGTGCCTAATACTTTTTGCCAAGGCTGTGTACCGAGTGTAATAGAGCTACCATATCTGGCTATTTTCTCCAAAAATAAACATTTTCCTGAAAACTGATTCAGACGAAAGTTGCAAAATCATTTTGAATTTTGTAATCGGAATCCCCCTACTACATATTCTTGCAGCTTATTTCAAGAACTTTTCAAAACACTATAATAAAATAAAATTTTTTTATCAAGTACTTTTCAAATACTTTTCAAGTTATATGCTTGAAAGTTACAATACCACCGGCATTAGCATTACCCAAGATGATTGGCTGACGGGCCGAACCAACCCATTGAATGTTGCTCAAAGTCATGATCTTGAAAACATTTGTTCCAGATCATTGGAGGTTATTTCTCTAATTTTTATTTTTACGTAAAAACGAAATTAAAAGGAACTTTCAAGCTTTACAACTCGAGAAAGTACTAATTAATAAAAAAAAACTTTATTGTAGTGTTTTAAAAATATCTCAACTTCAGCTACAAGGATATGCAATAAAAAATGGGGAGTTCCCTTAAAAAATTTCAAGGTGACCTTTATATGACTTTGACAACGCTATTCAGGGTCAAACTCATATTATTATATATATAAATACGCTACTTGAAATCCTATAATCTCTTTTGTCTGAAACAAGACTTATTTCTTTTTCAAGAAAATGTATATTTTTCGAGTCTGATACGATCGTTTTATTACACCCGGTATATTAAAGTACTTATGAAAAGGCACATCGGGTTTGCGCTCTATTTCATATTAAGTAACAATTATATAGTTTATCATCGCTGATGATAATTTTGTACCTTTAAATTTACACTGATGATGACCAGATAGGCCAGAGAGATCAAAACGTCAAAACGTCTGTTTTTATCACTGCTGATGTTGTTTGTATTGTTTGATTGTATTATATAGCAAAGATATACCTAGCTCGGTTCGAATAGCCTTTGTTTACTTAATATTGAACATGTATTAAAAAACATGTATTAAAATTTTTTACGCAATTTTATCCTCGTATTTGAAAACGCGGAAAGTTCCTTCGCGTTACTCGCGTACCGCGTCTATCCGCATGTTTGACGCAATCGGTTCGGTGGTCTGGCGGAATTTAGAATATTCCATACATCGACGAGCACGGAGCACACCGTGCGTTCGCACCCACGCACCCACGCACCCATACCACGCACGTGGGCACGTGTAACACGAGTGCAAATGTATCTCCCTTCCTCGTATTCGACGAGTACGTATGTATGCGCCTATGTGTGCCGCGACTATATTTCCATCGAACGTGTCGACGCCTAAAAATGACCCCGGTTATATACCGCGGTATTAGCCTATCGTCCCACATGCATATGTACGTACCGATAACTGTTAGAATCGTAACGGATTTTTTTCCGCCCCGATCCATTCTCGCATTCCAGCCTGATCGCGCACATCGTGCAAGTTTCGAGTAATACGTTCCGCCTCATTCCCCGATTCGGCCGATCGAATCCAGGGCGCGTAACAGCCCTGGACGCTTGTTACAAAACTATTCAAAAAACTGGTTTCCGCCATTCGACCAAGCAACCCCGCGCGCTTCTCCGTGTACGTATGAGTGCGTTCATGCGTGCGCGCGAGTAAGAGTCTGCGAGTCAGCGCAACGTAGCGCCCGAAGTATGTGATAAGTTAGTCAAGCGTATGAACGTTCCACGTGTTTGTCTCCGGAACAACGGCAATGACGACTCAAACGATGCGAACGATTAAGATGGATCCCAAAGGGCGTAAATGCGAGCGTGCTCGAGGACTATCAGTAAGAATGCGAACCGAAGGGAAACGAGCAGTAAATAACGTCAGCTACCTGTGCACCATCTTATCTAGGAATGTCAACACACACGACGTGTACCCTACACTCTCGTGTTGTTAGCTTCTTTTATTTATCAAAAAAAATTCTCTACACAAAGAGTCGCTTTGACAATGCAAGGTCCTTTCAGGCTCCTGACAATATTTCTAACGAATACAAATTTAATTTGTTTATCTACTTTCTGCTTTCTTATGTCTCGTAATTTTGGTGTCGATTTTTAGAGATATCAGAAACTAGAAATATACAGAATTAATACGTCAATAAGAGACAATAGTTTTTCCTTTTTTCGCATTTCAACTTTGTCTATTTTGGAATGTTTAGATTTAAGAGAATTTTGTGTATTGCAATGTATATATAAGAATATATTAAATATAGAAACATATATCATTTTTTTTTCTAAAAATATAAAATATAGAAATGAGCCATTTTTTTTCATTAAAATACCATAAGAATAATCGATAAAAAGAAATATTAAAAGAAACGAAATAGTAGTAAAATGAATGTAAAGAACTTGAAAGCTACAGTGTACAATAAAGAGAGAGATCCAAGAAGATATATCACTATAATAATTGAAATTATTTTCATGGTTTCATACTATAGTTCATTAGTTGGCTAAAAAAAAAAATTATTCATTTGACTAAATTTCGTTCGTCTTTATTTCTTTCGATGAAGAATGAAAGAAACAAAAACAATTAAATTAATGTAGTCAAACCAACAATTTCTTCTTAATGTTGATATTATATTATATAGTATTTAACTTAATTATAAATTATTTATAAAATATTTATAAATATTTATACACAAAATTCAGATATAAAGAAGAGCTACATTTAAAATAAATTTTTCTCCAGTAAATATATGTATATTGCGAATATGAAAAAAAGATTTCTTCGTTTCTCCGTTGATTTGATACTTTAAAATGTAGATCGTAAAATTTTACATTCATGTTTCCTAAATAATCTGCAATTCTCTAACCTAAAATTACAGCAAATCAGAATAATAGCAACTTTCACTGCGATTAATAATCATTAGCGTAACCACTGCTGCGTGCAACTTTCTCTACAAATCGCGCTCCATTTCTCAGTACATAAAATCTTTCCAAAGTTTTCTAGTATAATATGTGTTTATAATTAGAAAATGCAATTTAATTTAAAATCTAATATGTTTTAACGCCCGTGAAAATATCCATAACGGAGTTTATCGCAATTCACACAATCGCGATTCGTAGGAATAATAATTTTATATTTGTATGTGTTATCGTTTATAGCAAACTTTAACGTTTGCTTCGATCAGAGAGCGTAATGTCGAAACATTAGATGATTCACGAACATAAATTATACCTGCAAAATAGAGCGAGCAAAGCTCTCTATTTCAATATCTGTGAGGCTATCAGCATGTACACAGAAAAAACACGTTCTTCCCTATAAACATTATATAGCAAAAAGATCCCTAGACTTAATAATCATAATTATTTTGGAGTAGAATAATTACTCGCGCTTTATAGATTGAAAACATGCAAGAAATCAGAGTCAAAACTTACCCTTGATCGAGCCTATCAACAGGACCACCGGGTCCCATCATCGCTGGATGTCCAGGTCCCATAGGTCCAGCCATAGGATGTCCTCCTGGTCCAAAAGGACTTCCAGGCGGTATACCGTACTGTGGTCCGCCGAACGGCTGACCATGCGAGGGGAAATGCGGATTACCGGCACCAGGTGGTACAAACGGTGGTCCCGAGGAGCCGGGTCGGCCAACGAATTGCGGTGGCGCACCGGAAGGTGATCCAAACGGACTGGGCCCGGGCCCGTTGTACGGTGGACCGGAATTATTCGGGGGTGGTGGAAAACCGGTGGAATTAGGTGGTGGTCCAGGACCGGGCGTCGAAGAACCGCTCGGCGCGGGGGAGGCGGTGTACTGTGGCGTCGCCGAACCAGGCGGTGGGCCTTGGTATGGCGGTGCCCCGGCTGGACTACCGGCGCTGCCGGGAAACGGACTCGGCCCTTGAAAGCCCGCATTACTAGGTGGACCGCCTGTACTGTTGTATGGACCCGAGCCAGGACCACCACCCTGGCCGACGGAATTGGGCGTAAAAGGCGATGCCTCCGAACCGGGCGGCGGGCCCTTCCAGGAGGCTGGTGTACCGGGATCCTCCAGCGTGGTGGTGGCTGCCAATGGCGTATTTAGGCGGCTACAGCCTGTAAATAGATGAACAATATAGTGACAATATATACGTTAACATTATGTCTCTTTTATATTAATTTTACAATGTAACTGTAATAAATATTGATATAAATATAAGAATTAATTTGAAGATTAAAATATAGAGAAATAGAAGATATAAAGAAATGGGAGATTGTTTCATATATGTGTTCCGACAAAGGAAACCAACAAACTTTCAGAAATCGTTTTAAGCAAAAAAAATTTACATACAGATATACAAGTCAATTTGGCTTATCGAGATTTAGACAATTTAGACATATATATTATAAGACAAAAAATATCAGATGTGAATATTATCTCTTAATCATATTAATTATTCAAAATGTTCATCTTCTGCTGCCTGCTGCTCATTGTATCAAAACATTATATCTGCATATTCAGCATAGATAAATATTTTAGGCAATTCTTAGGAATAACGTGACACACTTAACATTTTTAACAGTCTATTAATCGACAAAAATGTATCTAGAAATTTGTAGTAGTAATAATAAATAGCTCATTAACCATTATGATTATTTCTACTACAAATTTCTAGATACATTTTTATTATTGAAATGTGCGATTACCTTAATTATTACCTAAACGCCAATCTTCAATGCAAAATAAATATTTAAAACAACACACTGCGTATCTAATGGAAAATGGTGCTTCGAATCCGTCGTTAGGCACTATTGACAAGAATAAATTTTTCATATTTCAATAATCGAGCCGAATTGACCTACAGTGTATATGAACTTTTTGCTTAGAATGCCCTGGAAAACATATTCTACAAGTATAAACGGTCCGACCTGGAGATTTTTGATACTTAAATAATGTTTTGGTGCAAATTTATGTTATGCATATTATCCAGTTTTACAATTTATATACCGAAACGCATGTACATTTTCTTACATGTACTAATTATTGCGACAAATGTTGATTGAGGTAACATTTTTCGCAATAAATTATTTACAGCTTTCTAAAATGCTTACTAACGTGAATATTATTAAATTGCTGGTCTATTTAATTTGTGATATTACTATCATAGTTCTATCTTACTATCATAGTGTACGATTGCATTTCAAGAAAATGATTTCGTCGCACAAATTGCAGACAGAACTGAATGTTATGTATACAAATTTACACTGAAACATTTAAGCACTAAAGATTCAGCTCAAACCATTTAGGCTTTCGATATTCAGTTGTATTCACATTACACATTCTTAAGACACTTTGTATATTCTGAAGTTTGTCTCCTTGTAAAACACCTTATGTAGTATAAATAACATTTTCCAATAACAGTATATATAATACTAATAATACAACAACATTAACAACAGCATCAATAATTGATGTAAATCTAAAGGAATATACCTTTCTTATCAAAAATTAAATTGCGCTTGCAGTAGATGAATCACTGATGCCTAAAACTATCTTATTCGTCTCATGTTCATGACAGAAAAAGTAATGAAAAGCAGCTCATATAAATCATACGACTGAGCTATCATACAAATGAATCTTTGATAAATAGAGACAAGATAAAGACTCTTATGTTTATAAGAGCATCGAAGGATTCATCCTATGTAAACAATACTCCAAAGTATGAACATCATCACAAAGTTTTGCACATTTTTTTCTTATTGAATAAGGACAGAGTCCTGAAAAATCACTCAGCTAGAAAGTACACTTGCAGAAATAAACATATGTAAAAGAAAATCACCATTGTTTGTCCCATTGGCCTTCATTGTCCTGTGATCACCCAGCTCATTCCACCCTCACCGATCACCCACTGCGTAGAAATCCGATATGTAAATTGAACGAGAGTGCACAAACTCGTTCCCGATCGTTCTCACGAATAATAATTCCAGCGCGGCTCAGAGTGGTTGTTAGTTGATGCCGCTTGCTTGTTTTAAGGTTATGTGCCGGCACACCTAACCTAAACCAGTGCGCGATTACACGCAACCAGTAGTGAGCAGTAGACGAATAGACGAGACACACGTCCGGCCGGTTCACAGCTCACGGTTCACGGCTCACGATTTACGACTCACGGCTCACAGTGAAGGCGAAGGCGAAGGAGAAGGCGAAGGCGAAGGCGAAGGCACACTCCAACCGGTACGCTCGCTTCAGGAATCCGCGACCGCGTCGGTCGTTGGTCGCGGCGCATCGCGCGCGCGAGCGAGCTCGTCTCGATGAAACAGCGGCGGCAACAACAACAACAAGGGCCCGTCGCCGTCGTCGTGCGGCGGTCGCGTCGCCGGCATTTTTCCAACGATCGTCGCTCCGCTGCGCTCAGCGCTGACCGTGCGTGTCGCCGACTCAGGACGTCTCAGGACGTCTCAGGACGCCTCGGCCCGGCCGGCGCTCATACGTACTCCAACTCCGGCCGCGCACCCGTTCCCAGGCGCGTGCACTGCTGCGACATGACGCTAGTAACCATTCATCCCCCGCATCGTCACATTGCAGAAAAGTTGACGACGTTCCAAACACAAGCGACCTCGCGAGTGCGCCCGCCCGCGCGCGCGCGCACGTACTCTCTTTCTCTCTCTCTCTCTCTCCTCTCTTCCGCTCCCGCTCCCGCTCCCGTTCCCGTTCCGCGTTCGACGGAGAGAAAACGAGCGAGCGAGCGAGAGATAAAGAGGTAAAGGGAGCGCAAAAGGGTTGAATGAGCGAGAGAAAAGACGAGGAGAGCGAACCAACACCACCCAACTCACCAGATCAACTTGTTAGTCAGGGACGTAAGCTGACTTGGCGCGAAATGCGAGGGCGACACTTTCACGCGCGACAACTGTACTCTCGCTCGCGCTGTCAACTTCACCGAGCTCGTAGAGGGATCGGAAATTGTCGTCAATCGTTTGTTCGCTGTTGAAAATTTTCTTGCGAATTTCTTGCGAATGATCGCGTTGGCACGTCACGAGAAATCTTGATGCAATAACGAGATATATGTATACACACTCCATAGAATCGCAAACAGTCGCGAGAAATCGCGAGAAATACGATATATACCGTTATTGATAATAAACGCTCATAATAAACCGATTTCCATCACTCACACGTGTCACGGTGCCACCGCAGACGGCAGAAGCGCTCACGGGTATGCACCATGCACTACGCACGTGCGCCAGGAGCGTAACTAAGCCACACACGCACCTCGTCCCCAAACTGCTCCAGTGCTCCCTCGCGGACCACGTGTTCCGCCCTCTTTATCCCTCTTCCTCGTTCTCTCTCTCTCTCTCTCTCTCTCTCTCTCTCCCTCTCTCGTCTCCCTTCCTCCCGTTGTCCGCGGCGTCTCCGTTCCCCGCTTCTCGCCTTCTCGATGTCTCCACTCACGCCCGAGTGTCAACTGGATTTCTTCCTCGGCCGCAGACGATAATTGCTATTCCACGCGCCAACACCGAAGAGGGTTGCCATTCTTCCGGTACTTTCCTCCGCTCGTCGAGCGCAGGCGACGGCCGTAGTGAAAAATCAGGGCCCGCGAGGATCCAAGTTTCGTCGCGTACATTCCCGTACCGCCGCGTCTTCATGACGCGACGCACGCACGCACGTACCTCCCCCGAAGGAGAATCGTCTGTTCTTCTTCTACCCCTTCCTTGGCCGCGTGGTTTGTTGTTTCTCGCGCGCGACCACCAGACCACCTCACCACTGATCTCACGCGAATGGCGACGCGTCGCGAGTCGCGACGCGCCGGCTCACGTCACTGCCAGGCGTCCCTGCCGCGCGACAAACGTGTCTCTGTCTCTCCGGCCGGCGCGGACGCCGCGGACGGTCGCGATCGCGACTTGTACGACGCGCACGTTAATCGTTCACGCTCTCTCTGTCTCTCTCTTTCTCTCTTTTTTCAAAACTCTCTGTCTTGCCAAAACGTCGATCGTCGTCGAGGTGCTACACACCGTTACGCACTTGGCGCTCTCGCACCGGTATCGATTGTCACTCGTGTACTCTACGCAGCACGCTTCGCGTAATTTCACGGCTATAAGTTGTAACGTTCTCGGCAGCGCGCTCGCGACCTTTCACGATATCGTTTGCCTCGTAAGCGTCGCGTCGGAACTTGAACTTCTTTCCGTCGCGCTCGACGAATTATTTTCCCGAGGGAAGGAAAGAAGCAACTTGCGTGGCTGGTCTCGCCCCCAAGTCTAGGCGTGACTCGCGCCAATTTGGCGACTGGCTTTCGTATCCCGCGAAACGGTTACACATCAGCGGACTTGGACGCGATAATTTTCGATCGATTAATCAGGAGGAAACTTTGGCAACGCGGTGTCGCCTGTGTGTATGTGTGTATGTATGTGCGTGACAGCAATGTTACGCATTCAAATTCGCAAAGGACACGGAGAACGTTACATGACGCGCGTTAAATCGTGATGAATTTCCGTGGAAAGCTTGCCGCGAATCCGCATGGTTTGACGACGCTTCCAGGAGCGATTTTTTTCTTCGCGCACTTCACTTTGGGCACGCAGCGCGCAAGATTGTTCCAGTATACCGCAATTACAATCCCACGCGTGCCGATCCGAGCCGTACATACTTCACCCCGCGTACTCCTTCGGAGCGGAAACGATCTCACAGTCGTAAGTCGTCGCGCGTTACCGTATCGTCGAATCCGCGTTGCTCCGAAAAGCCACGTTTCCCGTGCAACGCGTGCGACACTTGCGTACGCCAGCGCGAGTCGCGACGCCTACCTCGAAGCCGGGAGAGCGGAAAAACGTGGGGTGGGAATAGAAGAAATAAAAAAGAGAGGAACTAGAGCGAGAAAGTGAGAGAGGAGGAGAAAGATGGCACGAAAGAGACAGAGAAAGGGCAACGACGATCACTACTACGGACTCGCCGTCGTCGTTCGCTCGCGGGGACTCGCACCCCTCCCTCCCCCCCTCCCCCCTTTCCCCGTGTAGTGTTCCCCTCGCGTTTCCAAGGTGGCAACCACCCCCGACAGACAGTGATGTAGGTATATGTATATGTATATATATATATATATATATATATATATATATATATATACCGTGCGGTGCACCCCAACACTCCACCAGACACG